GTTTTACTTACTGTATCACCTGTATAGTTTTATATTTATATTTGTTTATTTTGGACTTTATATCCAAAGACAAGGAAGAGTAGCTTAGATTGAGCAGAGGAAGGAGAAGCAGGACCTTAAGTTAAGAGTTTGGGAGTGGTGGAATGGAGTGAGGAATGTTGGGATCTGCATGGAGGTGTGGAGCAAAGGAACAGGATTCTAGTAGATTGCACAGGGAGAGTCATTCTAGATCTGATTGTGGAAAATTTTATCAGAACAAAATTGTTATATGTAAACTTTTTCTGATGAAAAATATCTGTCTTCCTGCCAATCCAATCCAATCCAATCCAATCCAATCCAACCCAACCCAACCCAACCCAACCCAACCCAACCCAACCCAACCCAACCCAATATTACTTAGGGTCCCCACCTGCTATTCTTTTGCTCTTAAATTAGCCCCTTTTGAGTTCTGTGTTAATCAAACAGTTGGACTACAACTAGGGAAACTTAGTTCAAGTCCATTCTTATGCCTGGAATTCATAGTCACTCTTCTCTGTTCAATATGCGGAGTGGTTAAGTCTAACATTGCAGGCAAACTGCCCACAGCCTGGATTTCGATCTTCATGGAGCTCAAGATTAACTTTCCATCCTTCTGATCTCAGTAAAATGAGAACCCAGATTGTTGGGGGCAATTTGCAAATGATGCTGACATTGTAAACTGTCCATAAAATGCTATAAAGCACTAAGGACAGTATATGAGTCCTATTGCAATTACTAATTTATTTCATAAGGTTGTATTGAGGGGATAAAATGGAAGGTCTATATTCTAAAAAGTAGAATATAAATTTTACCAAATAAATAAATGAATAAAATCATTTCCCCTTCCCCATCCCTTAATAAGGTGTCCTTGTTTTATTTGGGGAAAATAATTATTCCAATTCATGTTTTATGTACTGATACTACTGCTTGCTAGATTAGATGAATATTGAATAACCTTTTCTGTTTCAGACAGCAGTCCACTGCTCCTACCAGAGACACACTATTCCCCATTTTTGGACTATGTAGATACATTTTAAAAATTATAGTGGTTTCTATCTAAAAAAAATCATCAAGCAAGCCATGGCTGGAAGAACTAGACAAGTTATAAGAAGGTTAAACAGAATATTGTATGTCAAAATGCCAAAGTTTGTTGGTCAAGAGAGGAAAAGATGCAATAAGGAGCCTTGATTTTGATACAATGGGCCCTCCTTCTGCTGGTGCTACAAATACACATTGTTTGTAAGGCTGAAGGAGAGCCTCATGCTGGGGAAGAAACACCCTCCTGCATAAACTGGGGACATGGTGATATTGATGTCCTAGGCATTTACTATTGTACTCTGTTGTCAAGAGTTAAGGGTAAAGAAAGAAAAGAAATCGAATTCTTTTTTTAAGTCCATGACACATAATAGTAGCAGTAAGAGGTTGAGAGGCTGTTCCTTAATACTAAAGATGATATATTGTGAACTCAAGGACCACATGCTATAGAAGCACTTCAAGTTTACACTTCAAGACTGATGCTATTCTAACTGCATTCATTGCAAAGGATTAGTAGCGAAAGAACAAGTAGGCATCTTTCAACTGAGGATGTTTAAATCTGTCTTTATGCATTGTCCAAGAGGTCTTCCAATCTTTGGTAGCATGAGGTAACTCATGTTACTAACTAGAAAAAGTTATCTGTTTTCAGGTAAGGAACATTGGTTGAAAGATCAATGTGGTCCAAAGCATCAGACTTGACATGTGTGCTGTTGCATAAGATAATTTTGGATGACCAGCCATTCAAAATGTTTTGGACTAACTTATTCTAGTGCCTGCTCCATATAGTTGGCCCAGATTACCAGTTCCTTTCACTTCAAAAAGCAGGTGATACCTTCTCTGCATCATTGATGCTGTGAGCAAGTTTGTGGACTGCTGTAAGCAACAAGTCTCAGCATTTATTGCAGACTTGCAAGTCTCGGCAGACTTTGAACTACTTTAGATAGAGTGCTGAAACCTCTACCATCATGAAATCTTTTTTACCCCAATTGGTATTGTAACAGCGCTCTTATGCACAAGAGCCATAAGGCTAATGGTTATTTCCACCAAAAGGATCCTATCAAACACTTTATACTGGATCTCTCAAGATGCCCCACCAATGGAACTTCGCCTACCTGTGGTTCAAATGAAGCTGGATTTTATGTTGGTGGCTTAATGTGTATCATGCTGAAAAGAAAAGTAGATAGAATGCTACAATCAAAGATGTGATATCAAAGATCTGCACTGGTTTATGAACATCTTCTACATTGCTAAAATTCACACAAAAATAGTAGCAAGTGTATTAATATATCTTGGTTCAATTGCTACTTAGTGGCAACATGTGCTGTGGATCACTGCCTCCTTGTCCCCTGAAGGTATCTAAAATGATTTTGGTTGTTTGGCTGTTGGAGATTTGACTATGACTATGCTGTTTCCATCACTTTTAGTTAGTGTGATTAATCAGATCTCACACCATCATTAAGCATGATGTTTTGTGGTTACCAATTGCCTGTTTCCCCATTTATTTTGTTTGTCAGAAGCTGGCAGTGAAGGTCACAAATGGTGATCACATGACCGCAGGATGCTGCAGCATCATGCTGCAATTGAGCAATTGAGAGTCGGTACACTGAGCATCAGTGTGTGTGTGTGTATACACACACACACACACAGACAAACATGCCCAGTAGTTTCCCCCCCCCAAAATACCAATTATATATGTATTTTCTTACAATATATTTTGAACATTTTTATAGAGTCAGAAATCATCCTATTTTAAGTGATCTGTCACTTAACAGTAATTTTTCAGAGTATGAAGCCAATTCCTGCTGCTAAGTTTAATATCCTCAAGCATGAGGTTGCTTAATGGAATAATGCATAATCCCCAAAGTCCAGTTTTAGCTATGTTACATAGTTCTCTTTGATTCTTAAAGGTTACAGTTAAGTTGTATCCTGCAAATTTATTATCAAATGGGTAATTCATGCAAAACTAAATACACTCACATTTAAAAATAGGATTTGAGGGTTACAAAACATTCCCTGCTATGGTTAAAGAAATACAGTACATAAATGCCTGTGGCAAGCTGTTCTTTGAAATTATCTCCACTAAATTATAACCATGCACGTTCAACTCTCTGTAATTAAACATTTAGATTTATTTATTCCAGATGTATTTGGTTCAAATAAATCCAGAACTTTTGTTGTAGTACTAGAGCTCTTACAAGTCTCCAGCATTTACAAATTGTCAGAAAATGAAGTGAATTGTCTCCTTTGGTTTTGCTTGCAGTATGTTCACTGATGACTTCATTTTATGCTGTTTTGGAAAAGGATATGGATTGTGTAATTAGGGCATTTTAGAAACTACTGGTTTCTTTTGAAGTAACCTAATGAAAGTGAACTTCAGACAAGCTATATTAATAAAAATGATCCCTACTTTAATTCCTCATTTTGAGCCAACATTTGCAGGCTCTGCAGATTATCCCTTTTAAAAAATATGGATGAAACCTAAAAAAAAAAAAGTTCTTAAAATTCCCGTAAGAAAGATTGGGTTAATTTCTTACGTAATATATTTAAATTTATGACATACTACTATATAAATTATATTGTTTGATATTTATGTAAACACTAGAATTGTATTTTCAGTAAGTCTGGATGTTTAATTATATCTGAACCTTCAGTTAAAAGTTCTCATATTATAAAGTTTTAGATCAAGGGTGTCAAACTCGATTTCATTGAGGGTCTCATCAGGTTTGTGTTTAGCCTCGGGGGGCTGGGGTGGGTGTGGCCAGCTCAGTGTCACTTGTGTTGGAGTGCCTGTCGTGGCCCAAGCGCTCTGCCAGTGAAAACGGGCTTCTGAGCTCCATTTTTGGCTACGACAGCCTCCTGAAACCCTCTGCCAATGAAGACAGCCCTCCTGAGCTCCGTTTTTGCTGGCAGAGGCACCGTGGGCCGGTCCTTCACTATTTCCAGGGCAGCCCCGTGGGCCAGATCTAAGCACCCTGCAGGCCGGATGCATCCCCCTGGCCTTGAGTTTGACATCCTTGCTTTAAGTGATCCTGTTGATATGACATGCAAAAAAAGAAAGTACACCAACTTTGAGTTCCTTGATTATGTGTATCCGGAGATAGTAAAAATCAGCTGGTCCTTAGCAGTTCTTAAAACTAGGTAAATACATCACCAGATGAACAACAACACATTACAAATTACACCATGTCATTATTTATTTTACAAAAGAAAGCCAAAATGGAGAAGCCACACAACTGTGACTGATTTTGTGGCCTTTTTTTGCATTGAGTAACATGGCACTTGTCAAGTGTTAAATGAACACTGTGGTTATTAAGTGAATCAATTGTACCCAGTAAACTTTTTTTTTACTGAAAATCAAAAGTAAATGCTGAAACCAGCTAAAAACATTGAAAATTGCAGTATAAACGTGAGCTGGTTGCCACGTGAGCTGGTTCCCAATGCAATCACATGCATGCACCTATTGTAACTTCAAAAGTGAGTCATAAGTAGTGTTTGGGGATCCATTGTAACTTTGAACAGTTGTTCAAAGTGACAGTTGTAAATCAAGAAGTACCTGTATTTGTCTTAATACAGAAAATGGTGGAATTTTAAAGGAAAGATTAAAAAAGTTAGTCTTTCCCTATATTCTTATTCTCCCTTTCTGTTTTGAAAAGCCTATCTTGAGTGTGGGAGGAACTTTCTATTTATTAATGATCCTCTGCTCAATGCTTCTTGTACACAGAGCAGCCAACTTAAAACATTCCAATTTGAGACTATGGAAAGATATAGCGATAAGAAAAAATCAGTAGAGATTGGTGGAATGTTTGGATAAGACAGGAAGACAGATGTTTGGATAAGACAGGAAAATCAATTTATCAATTCTACCACTTCAGTTAGTTTTTCTCTGGGGTTAATAGCCCTAACACATTTACAATATGATTTACTGTATGTCATTTTTATTTCTCTAGGATGCTCTTGATAAGATGCTCCATATTCTACCTCTTCCTTCTGCTACCATTTAGCTCCTGGATGCAGAAACTACCTACTAGAGATGAAGAACTTTTTCAGATGCAGATCCAGGACAAAACCTTTTTTCATGATTCTTCAGTACTACCTGATGGAGCAGAGATCAGTAGTTATCTCTTCAGAGGAACACCCAAACGGTATATTGATTCATGTAATGTAAAGATAAGAAGTTATATATACTTGTCTTTCCTCTGTTCTTTCAGTCAGTCTTGATTCCTGGCAACTATATGGGCAAGTCCATTCAATTTTCTCAGCAACACTTGTCATTGCTTTCTTCTTAGGGCTGAGAGAAAGGAACTGGCTCAAGGTCGCCTAGTGTCAACTTTGTGAGGTAGTCCAGACAGGAAACATAGCCAGACGATCTAATTCTACTTTATTGTAAGATTACTTTAACAGAATCTTGCAAATCTGAAAGTATAGTCCCCTTACAGCACAAGAAGTTAGGGAGTGTTTCTTCTGAGCCTCTTTCTCTGCTCTAGGCTAAATTGCCTTTTATCTGACTGTTCTCTTGGCTGCATCTCTTTGTGCTGTTCTCCAAAGTCACCTCCACATATTATATCTTGTGTCTAATGCAGGATAAGTTCACTGTTTTTCATCTGCTACACTTCTTCTTTAGTGATTCCATACAGAGCTCCTTTATGAACACTAACTAGCAATCAGAAGACATGAAAACTCCTTAATCTCATAACACATGAACAGACTCAACCATAATTTAAACTGGGAAACTGTAAATTTATTTATTTATTTATTTATTTATTTATTTATTTATTTATTTATTAATTAATTAAATTTTTATACTGCTCCCTCTCCCGAAGGACTCGGGGCGGTGAACAGCCAAGATTAAAAAACATACAATATAAACATTAAAATACATTTAAAACAAAATTAAATCCAAAATGGCTCCCCAATTTAAAACGCCTTACCCATAACCCTATAATTAAAACAAATTTAAAATTTCCACATTAAAAGGGGGAGGATTTAGGCCAGGCCAGCTTGATGAAATAGAAGAGTCTTAAGCGCGCGGCGGAAGGTGCGTAGATCCGGGATCCTCCGTATCTCTGGGTGGAGCTCGTTCCAGATCGTAGGTGCCCCCACAGAGAAGGCTCTCCCCCTAGGGGCCGACAGATGACATTGTTTGGCCGACAGCACCTGGAGGAGCCCCTCTCTATTGGAGCGTACTGGCCGGTGGGAGGCTATTGGTGGTAGCAGGTGGTCCCGTAAATAACCAGGTCCTAAGCCATGGAGCGCTTTAAAGGTGATAACCAGAACCTTGAAGCGCACCCGGAAGACCACCGGGAGCCAGTGCAGCTCACGCAGGAGAGGTGTTACATGGGAACTCCACGTCGCTCCCATAACCACCCGTGCGGCCGCACTCTGCGCCAGTTGGAGCCTCCGAGTGCACCTCAAGGGGAGCCCCATGTAGAGAGTGTTGCAATAGTCCAGACGAGAGGTAATGAGGGCATGAGTGACTGTGCGTAGGGAGTCCCGATCTAGAAAGGGACGCAACTGGCGGATCAAAATCCTCCCGGTCACGGCCGTCAAGTGGTCTTCTAAAGACAGCCGTGAATCCAGGAGGACGCCCAAGTTGCAAGCCCTATCCGTGAGGGCCAATGATTCGCCCCCAATAGTCAGCGATGGCACCAGCTGACTATATCGGGACGTCGGAAACCACAGCCACTCGGTCTTGGATGGGTTGAGCCTGAGCCTGTTCCTCCCCATCCAGATCTGTACGGCCTCCAGGCACTGGGACATCACTTCAAGGGCATCGGTGGGGTGGTCCACATCCCAACAGTGGTCCACATCCCAGGTAAACATCCTAGACCAAGTTGAATCCAAAAAATCCTAAGAATTTCCAGGAAGATTGGCATTCAGACAAATCTGCCATCAATGGGTAAAGGTATAGGGTCTCCTCACACATATGTGTTAGTCGTTCCCGACTCTAGGGGACAGTGCTCATCTCCATTTCAAAGCCGAAGAGCCTGCGCTGTCCGAAGATGTCTCTGTGGTCATGTGGCTGGCATGACTAAATGCCAAAGGCACACAGAACGTTGTTACCTTCTCACCAAAGGTGGTCCCTATTTTTCTACTTGCATTTTTTACGTGCTAGATTGGCAGAAGCTGGGACAAGTAACGGGAGCTCACCCCATTATGCGGCACTAGGGATTCAAACCGCTGAACTGCCGACCTTTCGATCGACAAGCTCAGTCTCTTAGCCACTGAGCCACCACATCCCTTTCTGCCATCAATAGGCACATAGAAATAAACCACATTCATATACCATTCAAAAGAGACAATAAAGAAGCTAAGAATAGGAAACAAGAAGATGAGAATACATAATCTTCAGCAGCCTATAGCCATATAAACACAGATTAACATCAGACAAACCAAATCAAGCAAATCAAATCAAGCAGAAAACTATATCCTAATCAAGGATCTACCAAGGACAAACCACATCCCACCAATAATGGCAGGGCAAGCTGCATTATGTAAATAGGGAACAAATGCCACAATCCCTTGCAATGATGATGTTCCCTAGTTGGGAATGAAATGAAATGAAATTGCAAGCAAATAACTAAGCTCATAGAGCATCAAGAACCCCACAGTTCAATATATGAGTTACATATATTCTATTGTCTCTGTGTCCTTAATTTTGCATTGTGAAGAAAGTTACGCTTTTATTCATCTTTTCATAGGTTTTTTTTTGTGGTAGAGGAAGATAATACACCATTTGCAGTTACAGTGACTCCTTGTGACACACCTTTGGAATGGAAACTGAGTTTGCAAGACCTCCCTGAAGAGTCAAGTGGAGAAGGGTCAGGTAAATTACAGTAAAAACCGAACAAAGATTATTAATTTTGTTAAATATGAATAAGATGACATAGAAAATATACTGAATTCCATCAGCAATTGCTGCTTAAAAAATTAGTAAATAAGAATTAATTTTTAATAATTGAATGATAGATTACATGTTTCCCTACCTTATCAAAAAGTCATTTTACTAGTTTTGGTTAAACAGGCAAAAAATTGGAGATAATTATAAACCAATAGAGGAGGATGTCTTATTTCATCTATTCTTCTCCTGCACTAATCTTAGGTGTAGCCATAATTCTTTACATGTACCCTACATATATAAATATGTACTACTAAAATAAGCAAGCTTTTACACCACCCGAACAGAAAAAGTACAGTTAGTCCTCAACTTTCAACCACAATTTAATCTCAAATTTCTGTTGCTTACTGAGACAGCTATTAAGTGAGTTTTGTCCCATTTTATGACCTTTCTTGCCACAGTTGTTAAGCACTACAGTTGTTAAGTTAGTAACACAGTGTTAAGTGAATCTGGATTCCCTATTGACTTTGCTTGTAAGAAGGTCGCAAAAGGGGATCACATGACTCAGGACACTACACCATCATAAATATGAGTTTTTCCCAATGTCTTTGGCTGTCTTGAATGCTGTAATATGAATCCAATATTATTTATACAATAACTGAATTCTTTGAAAACATGTCCATATGTCATTTTATAATTATGTGTCCACAAAAGTTGATTTTAGCAGTTTAGTTTAGTTTTTCATATAAAGACATCTTTTTTCCAAAATGTCTTCTGTTTTTGTTTATAAAGCTCCTCTGCTTTATTATGTTATGAGATGCAAATCATATATTATAAAATACATATATTAGTGGGTATAACAGTATTTGTGTAAACTATAAATTGCTAACTTTATTAATTTACATTATTTAAACCATTTTTCAGGAACAAGGTTAGTTAACAATTATATTTACAATGTTAATTATAATTTTGAATGTTAATGAACATAAGGTTGCTCGAATTGAACAACTAAATATGTATTGATAGACTTTTGTGAAATTCATTGCATTATTTTGTAATATAATAAGGTATCTATTTTCAGTTTGATACTTAATACGGAGATCTGCATAGTATTACAGTATTATTTATTGGTAGGGATATGTGTGTGTATTTATTTTATTTATTTTATTTTATATTGGATTTCTATACCGCCCTTCTCCCTAAGGACTCAGGGCGGTGTACAGCCAGATTAAAAAAAACATGCAGAACAAATATTAAAAACAATTAAAAGATATATAAATTTGGCCCAATTAAAACTCATTTACCAATTAAAAACGTTTAAAACATTTAAAAACAGTTAAAAATTTCATCTTAAGCCAGCCCGGCTTGTTTAAATAAGTGGGTTTTAAGGGCGCGACGGAAGGCACTGAGGTCTTGGATTCTCCTTATCTCTGGGGGGAGCTGATTCCAGAGGGTGGGTGCCCCCACAGAGAAGGCCCTCCCCCTGGGGGTCACCAGCCTGCATTGTTTGGCTGATGGCACCCCGAGGAGGCCCTCTCTGTGGGAGCGCACGGGTCTCTGGGAGGTCGTCAGTAGCAGCAGGCGGTCTCGCAGATAGCTAGGCCCTATGCCATGGAGCGCTTTAAAGGTGATAACCAACACCTGTATGTATGTATACAGTCAGGTCCAGAAATATTGGGACATTGACACAGTTCTAACATCTTTGGCTCTATACATCACCACAATGGAGTTGGAATGAAACAAACACAATGTGCGTTAACTGCAGACTGTCAGCTGTAATTTGAGGGTATGTACAGCCAACTCAGGTGAACGGTGTAGGACTTACAGCAGTTTGTATATGTGCCTCCCACTTGTTAAGGGACCAAAAGTAATGGGACAATTGGCTTCTCAGCTGTTCCATGGCCAGGTGTGTGATATTCTCTCATTACCCCAATTACAATGTGCAGATAAAAGGCCCAGAGTTCATTTCAAGTGTGCTATTTGCATTTGGAATCTTGCTGTCAACTCTCAAGATGAGATCCAAAGAGCTGTCACTATCAGTGAAGCAAGCCATCATTAGGCTGAAGAAACAAAACAAACCCATCAGAGAGATAGCAAGAACATTAGGCATGGCCAAAACAACTGTTTGAAACATTCTCAAAAAGAAGGAATGCACCAGTGAGCTCAGCAACACCAAAAGACCTGGGAGACCATGGAAAACAAGTGTGGTGGATGACCGAAGAATTCTTTCCCTGGTGAATTCTTTCCCTTCACAACAGTTGGCCAGATCAAGAACACTCTCCAGGAGGTAGGTGTATGTGTGTCAAAGTCAACAATCAAGAGAAGATTTCACCAGAATGAATACAGAGGGTTCACCACAAGATGTAAACCATTGGTGAGCTTCAAACACAGGAAGGCCAGATTAGAGTTTGCCAAACAACATCTAACAAAGCCTTCACAGTTCTGGAACAAGATCCTATGGATAGATGAGACCAAGATCAACTTGTACCAGAGTGATGGGAAGAGAAGAGTATGGAGAAGGAAAGGAATTGCTCATGATCCTAAGCATACCACCTCATCAGTGAAGCATGGGGGTGGTAATGTCATGGCATGGGCATGTATGGCTGCCAATGGAACTGGTTCTCTTGTATTTATTGATGATGTGACTGCTGACAAAAGCAGCAGGATGAATTCTGAAGTGTTTTGGGCAATATTATCTGCTCACATTCAGCCAAATGCTGCAGAACTCATTGGACGGCGCTTCACAGTGCAGATAGACAATGACCCAAAGCATACTGCGAAAGCAACCAAAGAGTTTTTGAAGGGACAGAAATGGAATGTTATGCAATGGCCAAGTCAATCACCTGACCTGAATCCCATTGAGCATGCATTTCACTTGCTGAAGACAAAGCTGAAGGGAAAATGCCCCAAGAACAAGCAGGAACTGAAGACAGTTGCAGTAGAGGCCTGGCAGAGCATCACCAGGGATGAAACCCAGTGTCTGGTGATGTCTATGCGTTCCAGACTTCAGGCTGTGATTGACTGCAAAGGATTTGCAACCAAGTATTAAGAAGGGAAAGTTTGATTTGTGATTATTATTTTGTCCCATTACTTTTGGTCCCTTAACAAGTGGGAGGCACATATGCAAACTGCTGTAAGTCCTACACCATTCACCTGAGTTGGATGTACATACCCTCAAATTAAAGCTGACAGTCTGCAGTTAACACACATTGTATTTGTTTCATTCCAACTCCATTGTGGTGGTGTATAGAGCCAAAGATGTTAGAATTGTGTCGATGTCCCAATATTTCTGGACCTGACTGTATATATATATACACATACACACACACATATATATGTATGAATATAATATAATACATATATAATGTATTATATACATATATATATAATATATATTTCATATTCATATATATGAAAAACAATGAGAACAAAGACAAAAAAAGTTAAAGCTACTTAGGAAAACAATAACGTCCCTCATCTTTGCATTCCAATTGATCTGCAATATTTTGTGATGGTATGTGAGAATGACCTGAGGAACAAGGGAAAGAAATGTTGCAGATGAAATGATCAGACAATGGAGGAGAGACAGCCAAGTGGCTTAACTGTCAGAGAAAGAAGCTTTCTTTAATTGATTAGGAAATTAAAAGTAGCAGCAGGAAATTTATAACTTCCAGACTTGAACATTTCTTTTAATGCAGCTTTACAGTAAAGTAGAATTAGTTCATCTAATCATATTTCCTGTCTGGTTTTCTTAGGAGGCCAGCACATTTAGACCTCCCTTTAGAAACCGTACTGTGTTTTGTGTTTACTTAGTTTCCAAATCTGTCATTTTTGTCTCTTTTAGGTGAACCCGAGCCACTTGAACAACAGAATCAGCAGATTATTCGTGAAGAAGACACAGAGCTATTTTCATACAGAGGAAATGATGTTGAGTATTTTGTATCTTCTACTTCACCTTCTGGGTTATACCAGTTAGAACTCTGGTCAACAGAAAAGGATACAAACTTTAAAGTCTATGCTAGTACAACTCCAGAGTCAGATCAACCATATCCTGAACTACCTTATGATCCAAGAGTTGATGTCACTTCTCTTGGTCGTACAACTGTCAGTTTGGCATGGAAACCTAGCCCTACAGCTTCAGTATTGAAACAGCCAATACAATATTGTGTAGTCATTAATAAAGAACACAATTTCAAAAGTCTCTGTGCTGTTGAGACTAAACAGACTGCTGATGATACATTTATGAAGGCTCCTAAACCTGGTCTGGATTTTAGCCCTTTTGATTTTGCCCATTTTGGATTTTCTTCCAACGGTAATTCTGGGAAAGAACGCAGCTTCTTAAAACCAACACCAAAGCTTTATTCAAAACTTTATTCAAAGCCTAAGGTTGATCTGGAAAAGATATGCATTGGAAACAAGAATATATTTACTGTATCTGAACTGAAACCTGGTACACAGTACTATTTTGATATATTTGCTGTAAATGTCAATACAAATATGAGTACTGCCTATGTTGGTACTTTTGCAAGAACTAAAGAAGAGGCCAAACAGAAGACAGTTGATTTAAAAGATGGGAAGATTATAGATGTATTTGTCAAGAGAAAAGGCACCAAATTTTTGCGGTTTGCTCCTGTTTCGTCACATCAAAAAGTTACATTTTTTGTTCACTCATGTCTCAATGCCATACAAATGCAAATTAAAAGAGATGGAAAACTTCTGTTGTCTCAAAATGTTGAGGGTGTCCATCAGTTTCAACTTAGGGGAAAGCCAAAAGCCAAATACCTCATTCGACTGAAAGGAAATAAGAAGGGAGCTTCCATATTGAAGTTTTTAGCCACAACAAGGCCCAATAAGCAGTCATTTCCATCTCTTCCTGAAGATACAAGAATTAAAGCCTTTGATAAACTTCGCACATGTTCCTCAGTCACAGTGGCATGGCTAGGTACACAAGAAAGAAACAAGTTTTGCATCTACAAGAAAGAAGTAGATGATGATTATAATGAGGAGAAAAAGAAAAGAGAACAAAATCAGTGTCTGGGACCAGACTTGAGAAAAAAATCAGAAAAAGTCCTCTGTAAGTATTTTCACAGTCAAAACCTACAAAAAGCAGTTACCACAGAGACAATTAAAGATCTAAAGCCTGGCAAATCCTATGTTCTGGATGTTTATGTCATAGGACATGGTGGGTATTCAGTCAAATATCAAAGCAAATTAGTGAAAACAAGAAAATTCTGTTAGGGATCTTTTACATAAAAATCAGCAGAACCTTACTGGATCAACTAACATACAGAATAGAAGTTGTAAACTGTATTGGTATTATGTATAGGAGATATTAACATCTATATTTATGTTTACAGAAAGACTGAGACTAGTGCTCTTCGTTGGTATCTGACGGTTGCATTATCATGCATCTGGTGGTCTATGTTTGATGATCAGTAAATAATCAAGATAGCAGGGAATAATGATGAACCTGCCCTTTTTGCTTCCATATTGCATGAAGTGCTTCTAAATTATTTTATCACATCAAAGGCTGGCACAAATCATTCAGTATATATTAGTCATAGGCAAAGACAAGAACCAAAACTTCTATCCAGTCTCTTTTCATAGACTACGGTTTATGTAACTTATTTTACTGTCTTGTTTAATATGTCTATGTTTCTATGTTGTAAACTATGAAAAATCTTTTCCTGTTAAAAGCATAGATCTAAATTAAATATTAACTGGGATTTCCAGTTTTATTGTTAATATAAATTCCTATCTGAATTAATTTTAAATGCTTAAAAAGTGTATGTATTTCATGTACAAAATTGTAAGTCATTATATTCCTGTATATAAAATTAAAATATTAGATTATACATTCGTATTCATATTAATGTTTCATATATCTACATAGCCATAGCCATATACATAAATTTGTATAATTCTAAATGTATTTTGACCATCTTTAATTAGTAATTATCTGAACATCATTTAATTGTTAGTATATTTCAAATATTTTTCGATTTGTCAGATCAATCCTTTCATTTCTATAGAAACAATAAGATAATCTACTTGTGCTTAAAATGAAAGAAACTGATATGTATGCCTTTTTCTTTTTATTCATGCTAATAGCTTGGCCTATTATATAGTAAGCAAAATCCAATGCATAATCAGGCTTTCTTACTTTTTACTGATTCCTATATATATATTTGCATCATCATAATTTTATTTTGGATTATACCATGTGACCTACATATTGAACACTTCAGAGATACAAATGAAAGAAAGGCAAATATGGATTATTAATAATGTTTATTTTCTGCATTTCCATAGAAATCAGATTAAAAGTTAGATCTTCATCAAGCAGTTCCTTTTTTGTTTTCATTTGTTTTCTGAAAACAAAGCAATCATAGCAATTGTTGTCAAAGTATTTTTTAAAACAGCATAACATTAGAATTTACCCAGACATTTCTAGCTTTAAAATTTGAAGGCAGAACTGAATGAAATATATAGAAAGGTAATATTTTGTCTAGTGGCAGATAAAATCTGCAAAAGATGCAAAGCTGATTACAATAAAGAATAATGTGGGTATAGGTGTGAAAACACTTTTCTAGCCAATTAGCCAATTCCTGGCCAATGGGCAGGACTGCCTTTGTAATAATACAAAAATGAATATACGTGTGCATATACATTGTGTGTGTGCAAGTGTGTTACACTTGTAACTTTCTAAGGATCTAGTTTCCCTTTTTTTCAGAGAGTTTGGTATCTCCTGCTTTTACTCTCAGAGCAGAAAGTCCAACTCATTATGGTACTTTAATTATATAGCCACTTTTTTGGAGATGAGCAGAAGCAAAATGGGCAGACAAAGAATTGGCAAGAAATGGCAAGAAAAATTATACGTTTTCTTTGTGATATGTCCTCTTTAATGCAGGCAGGACCAGAACTGGGAAAAGCAAAGTTTGGGCTCAGCAGATTGCAACTATATCCCTATTTCATGGAGCTTTGGCAGTTCATTCTATAAAAAAAACTGTTTAACAATATCCATTCACCACCCTACTCCATGGTTTTCTGACTCTATTTTTCTGGCAATCAAAATGTTGATACGATGGGAAGCTGTGTTAGAGAAGCACTTTGTAAAGCATGTAAATAAAAGCAGTTGACATTTCCAACAACTTCCTGTCTGGTTGTGAAACCATAGTCTGTAATTTTGCAGCTGGATCATTTTTCCAAATACACAAATTCTCATTTGAGTACAGTTAAACTTGTTTCTGAAATATTTCTGTAGATAGCTGTATGGTTAACATTGTGTTTGATTCATTTTATACTTCCAGATGACTGAAGTTAGTGCATATTATTCAGTCATATTAAAATTAAATATCACAGACTTTACAGTATATCACATGTTCAGAATCTTTGTGACATAGGTTTGGTAGGTATCTATGCAAGAAAGGTTGGAACATTATTTTAACTCCAAATTTAATATAATAAGGGATCTGTTCAGCTCTAAATGCAGATTAAAAGATCAATGGAAGTAAATGAGAATATGCAACAATGCCTTCTATTTCTTTCATGTCCTTGTGGACACCTATGTTTGGCCTGAATCTAAGACTGGAACAAAACTATAACAAAAAATTAAATGCATATGCCATCTGATGTCCAGTGACTGAATATTTATGGATGGAATGACATTTCTCATAGCTTTTACAACTCTGTCAAACTTCTCAACTCTTTTGAATAGAGACAAAAAATGATTTAAAATTACACATTCACTGTAATATATAGCTTGACCTCTTAGGTAAACAAGTAACATTTGTAAACTAGTGGGTTCACTTGGAAATTTGAGAGTACCATGAACCCTTATTAAATTAAAGGAATTGAGATTATACCTATTCACATAATGGTAGCTTTAGCCGCAAACCTAATTCCAAACTATTAAAATGTATGTTTTTGCCTTTTTAACCTTACACAATGTTCTGTTTAAAAATGTACAAAATGTGGAATATATTTTGTTTCAAATTTGGAACAAAATAGATTCATTTGAAACTTTTCATCAAGAAGGATTGAATTGGCTGTGTTCTGATGGAACAATCCTCAAAATAGCTTCAGTGTCTTGTTTTGACCTTGAAACAAAATTTTCCAAATGTACACATTTTGTTTGGAGGCTGTAATATTCAAAATGATAATTGTGATTTAAAAAGTACATTTGAAACTTGCATTACTTATATATTTATCTGAACACTGTTCTCTCTATTTCCCACCAGCTCCATCTATACAGTGGCAGCATTCTTAACAGTTTTCCGTTAAAATGCAAAAAGAATTTCATAGGGTTTTCCAAGAAAATATATTATAAACCTTAGCATGTTAATATTAACAGAAGGTCCATCTACCGGTATGGAAATTTAATAAGGACAGAAATATGTCTTAGGAATTAAGTTCATTTATGTATGCTTTCATTAATTTCATATGTTCATGCTGTTGTTATTTGGGATAAGCAAGACAAAGAGTAAAAAATAAGTGAAGTAAAGATTGAAAGGAAGAAAAAGAAATATAGCTAAATTTAGTCTACAGCAATACTAATCATTAAACTCCTCCAGATTCTTGCGAGCCATTGTGACTTTAAATATACCAATACCAATGTAATGAATTAATACCAATGTAATACCAATGTATTCATTACCTTTACAAATTACAATTTATTCATGGCTTATTTTTTTCTTTAAATATTTGCCTCTTTTGTTTTAGTATTAATTCCATAGAACCATCACTTTCTTGGATGGTCAATTATTATTCATATGAACCTTCATTTGAATCGGTACATTCCTATATTTTACTTTTTGTTAATTGATCTTCAGTCTCACTGCATGACTGAATTCTACCTCAATGTACTTCTTTTGTACTGTAACTCATTCAGTATGCATAAATTCCTGATTGTATTTTTGTTCTACTGCACAGTTCTTAAATATCTATTCATAATTAATTAAACTTACTTTAAAATTTCTCTCTACATACTGAAATCTTATTTCCATATAAACAAAGAAACAACAAAATGGGCAAAAGCACTCTCTCATACACAACCACTTTCTTTCATTCACTTTCATTCATTGTTTTTGAATGATTAATGTGAAAAATCCTTGTGGTTAGCATGCTGTTCTAATGATTTTATTATAGTTTATATCAATTACAATTGATTATTATTCTGAAACTTATATAGATGTGGTTAAAAGATGACATTCCAAATGTTTAAGGAATTATGGCATATTCAGATGAAGGGTTTGGCATACTCCGACCTTTGTAAATAATCCATGAAACTCAAATCAAAGACGACTTTCTGCCTTACTCCCAAACTAATGTACTTCCTCTGAAGTTGTATTTAATGACCATCCCAAACACACTCGTTCTGCTTTTAAGATTTGTGTTAAGACCTCCACCAGATATTTTAATTTGCTTTAAAATTCTTGTACTGACTCTTCATTTTGAAAAAAATTGATACTCAATGCCACTGGTGTATGTATGTATGTGTGCAAGTGTGTGTGTGTGTGTGTAGTAGTCCTGATGGATGAGCATCCCCTTAGTATGTAGTTCTATGCATATGGGGAAAAATGTTGTTGACTAATTAAGCCATGTTTTTTATTTCATAAAATTTTATATTCCGATCTATGATTAGGATATGAAATACAAAATAATTACTCTTTTTTTAAATAACCCTTGAAGAATTTTTGGGTATAAGATGTTGTGGCTAACTGGGAAAATTCATCAATCAACAATTGTTACTATTATTGTGAACTTGGATTTTCAACTGCAGGAAAGGTTTGATTTTTTATTTTGTTTTCTATTGTAATTAGTAATGTTTTTATGGTAGATTATCACCTGTCTTGAGTGTGTTAAGGACAGAAAGGCAAGCTAATTAGAAATTGGAAGTCAGAGAGGTAAGCAGAGCACTGGCAAGATGTGAGGTAGGAAAGGGAGAGCAGAGACATAAGTTTCTATTGATATGCTATTAATGTAGGAATTTAAGATTGATATTTACTATTACCCTTCGTTACCATTAAAAATATTTTTCAAACTGACAGGTACTGTAAGAGTCTGACCATCATAGATAATTTCATATAAGGAATTGGTAGAAGTTCTTGGAAACTCTTCAACTTGTTTTATGAAAGAAACACTCTTTAAAAGGATCAGTCTTATAATTGCTGGTGCAGGTTTATTCTCTTGGGATAACTTTGCTTGTAATTTCAATCAATATCCTGGCTTAAATATTCCTGGAATGCAGGCTTTTATATTCTTGCGAAGTATATGGTGTGAAGGAGGGATGGAGAGTAGCTTCTTCATGTTTTCCAAGAGTTGAATGCATTATTGGGTAATGTGTATCTTTTAAAGAGACAGTTTTCACACGTATAGTCAACCTGGATACTGAATTAACCCGTTTTCTGAGAATGAATCTGGATAATCCTTGGAAGGGATCAAAGTATATACAGCCTATGTTTGGATATTAATGTATGATGTACTGTATATGTTGTACTTATGTACTTATGTGCAAATATATCTAAATGTGTAGGTTTTACACTATTAACTATTAATTCTATTTGGTACTGAATGAATGGGAAGTATAATTTTGGCTTTACTCTATATCTTCGGTTATGTTGATCACCAGAAAGCATCATATGACTAGTTTTGCATTTACAGGGATTCCTTAGATATGAGTAACCTATTTTATGGATTTGAACCTCTAATGGGAATTGAACTTGTGGACCTTCTGTGCTGTCCCTCTCTCTCTCTCTCCATCACCCTCTCTTTCTCACACACACCACATTGAGTTAAAAGCTTTTATTCAAACACTTTTGAATAAAAGCTTTTGAAGCTGTGGTTTTGAAGCAGTGGTTCCAAGATATTCCACATCATGAGTGGGTCTAGTTGCAATACTCAACAAGATTGGGGTGATACAGGAGTTCTCAGCAAAGCTCAATCCACAAAGATGCAACAAGCAGTCCAAAGTCAGTCCAAAGTCCAAACACAAGTTTGAGAAGCAAGACACATAAAACAGGAACACGGAGCAAGGAATTGGACATGTTGCAGCAACACCCATCTTTTTGGGTGGGATTAAATAGACAATGTTGATATGAGCCTTCATGATGAGCAAGGCTGCCTCCTCACAAATAGTCTGGCTGACTGACATTGTACCTGTCTCCTCTTTGCCCTGCACATCCTTGGATCGGGAGAAGGTGTAGACTCTATCTCTACATCTTTGCGATCAGCAGCAGCTGCATTTGTTCCTCACCTGAAGCTTCCAGCCTAATCTGCTGCAGCTACAGCTCTTTCGGTTTGGGCTCAGCCTGCTGCTCACCTGGTCTTTTAGTAGAATGGTATCCATGACTCACTTTCCCTTAAGTTCTCAGAGTGAAATACAGATATGACATAATGGTATATTTGTATCTGTCTGTTCTGATAGTTTAAGGTAAGGCAGTTTAGGTGTACCAATCTTACTTCTTTGGTAAACTTTCATGGCAGACTTTAGAATTTCCATACTCTACTTCAATATGTTATTTGTCAATTTGGCTTCTGAGAGTAGGATTTTATTGTGTAAAAGCAAAATGCTGCATGTAGTATTCATACTGTACTTACTGTACACATACATATAGAGAGAACCAGTTTGGTCTAGTGGTTAAGGCACTAGTTTAGAAACTGGTTGACCACGAGTTCTACTACCACCTTAGCCATAAAAGCCAGCTGGGTGACTTTGGACCAGTCACTTTCTCTCAAAAAATCTGAAATCTGCGATTTCAACCCAAATCACAGAATTATTGTTGTAGGAAAAATAGGAGGAGAAAGGTGTGTTCGTTACCTTGAGTTATTTGTAAAAAGGTATCCTACCTTTATACAGCAGCACCAAGCAATTGTTATCTAAAATAAACAAGCTAAATTGCTGAGAACTAAATGCTGAGCAAAGTTTACAGCATTTGCATATAGGAAAATAAGATGTATTCATTTAAATGTAAAGTGAAAATTTATTTCTAGAGCAGTTACTTCTTTTTACATTTCTCTCAAGTGGTTGTTTTGATCTAGTTCTGCAGGATGAATACCACAAGCAGGCATTTTAGGTAATGCATTTTAGTTCTTTATTTTGGCTCTCGGCTTTGCTAATTTTTTCCAGTAGTTTTATGTTTAGAATTGCTATTGAGGGAAAGCTTTCATTTTCTTCTTTGGCAGCAATACCGATTTTACAGAATACTTAAAATCTTAGGAAAAAAAACAAATGCCTGCTTTGGTTAGCAAGTGATACAATTTGAAAACAGTCCAGCCCACTCTTCAAATCAATCTTTAAAGTGTTTATAAACATTTAATATCAGTCTAGGTCACAATGCAAACTCATGCTTTGCATGAAATAAACTATTTGAACACCAATTGTCTCTTCTTGTTTTAGTTGTCAACTGTCATGCTTTTTGTGTGTCTGGCTCTTAATCTAAAAAGCAACTTATGTCGACATCCTTTAATATTCTACATTTGAGGAAAGAAGTAAGTTTTATGTAATAATGTTTAGTAAATAAGGCTTAGCAATGCAATGAAAAATTTATTATTGTTCTGATGCAAATAATTATAGTTATCAGACAAAGTTAATAATTGATATGAACCTTAAAAATATCTAAAAGACTGTGAAGAGATTGCTGATATTTGGCCAACTTGCCAGCTAATACCAAGTCACTTGTGTGGTCAATGAAATGAAATATAATTCTATAAACCATTAAAATAAATATGTATGATTATCTTTAAAGAAGTTCAAAAAATCATTTTCTTGTAGCACCTTATTACTGCAACTTGCTACCATTAAGTTATGAAAAGTTCATTTCCTCTCACTGCTACTTGTTTTAACTTTCTTTAAACTGTTCTGCAAGAAAAAGGAGGTAAGATCACCAAACGGCTGTTCTCATATAGCAGTCAGTACAATCTCTTCCAAACCAAATATAAAAACTAATAGATAGCTTACTTATTCTTGCCCTCTGTGTGAACTTTGAAGGATTTTCCAATCCTTCCTGTTTCCCTGAGAACTGTGAATTTTCAGGGATAGGAGGACTCTGAGTGCTTCCTTTGGAAGAGACATCACTGCTCAAAAGCATTATGTCAAAGATTGCTTATTGAAAAAAATACAGAACCTTATGGAGATAAGTGTCTCACAATACAATTTATCAAGTTCTATCAAGGATTTCAGTTCACAATATTTTCTTTTTTCTGAATCTTTAGGATTTTCAAATTTTCTGTACAAACAAGCAAACAAGCACTTTGTAACTACTTTTTTGTAAGTAGTTATGGGAAAGGGAGCAACCTCCTGAACAATCTCAATCTCAAAATTTAGTGCAATTATTTCCTGGTATTCCATTACTCCTAAGAAATATTTTCATTCTTTTATCAGTTACTACTAATTACTACACTATAAATGTTCTATAACTTTTAGAAAATAAACTCTTAATAGTCCCTGCATTTGTAACAAACCAATTTTTTTCAGATGCCCAACAATATTCAATCCTGTAAAATTTTATCTGCATATTGTGTATGTAAATGTTCTTAATTGATGTCAACTAGACAGTTTCAGCAGCTGGCAATATTGTTTGACCTTGTTTGAGCTCAGAAGAGTTGAATCCTGACTACCCACCCAGGCTGCGGTTAAACAACTAAAAAGAAAAAAGGAATGGACATAACTAACAGATATTTTATCCTACCATGCTGGCTGCCGTCTTGATTTTTTTTAACTGTACCCTGAAAACATTCTGGCAAGCTTTACTTTTACTTTATTTGATCAAGTAAGGTTTTTTTTTTTTTGTCATCTGTACTCCAAAAGACTGCAATTTATATATATATTATTTTTAATATAAATAGAAAGAGCAACATATTCAATATCAATATAAACAGTGTGTTGTCTGGTTACAATTATTTTGAGTAATACTCATTATAGTAATAACAATAATATTCTTTAGTAGTAATCTTCTAATGACAATGCTTTTCCCTCATAATATT